AAGAGGTGTGGAGTTTCCATAACCACACAACCTCAAAAAAAAAAAAAAAAAAAAAGAAAAAATAAATTAAAAAAAAAAAGAATCTGGGTCCTACCCAGCTCTAATACTTAGCTATATAATCCTGGTCAACTAAATAGAGAAGCCAGAACTCACTACTCTGAGCTTTGAAACTTAAGTCAAAACCAGCCACATATATGCATAAGAACGACCTCTTCCGACCTAAGACCAGAAGTACCCCCCTCTCCCCACCTCTCAGGGCCTCTTTAAGGCAGCATTGGACACAAGCTCATGACTAAGCTGCCCAGCCCGAAGGCAGAGTCACCTCTGAGGCCGCACCACTACCAACTCGGGGGCGAGACGCTGAGGAGAGACAAGAGCTTACCACCATTCTTCTGCAGTGCTCTGGCTGTAACTCTCTTGGCGAGCATCATGAACTGACTGTCTTCCCCTACTTCTTCTTCAGCTATAATTTTCCCCTGCTGTGCCTGAAAATAAAAGCATACATTAACAGAAAAGTCTACGTCTTCCTGAATTAGCATAGCCTGGGCTATAAAACTAGCTATCTGGGGTATCATTCGTTTTCCCTTATAACTTTTGCTGCTTTAGATAACAAGAAAAAAAATGAAAGACAAAACAAAATTTTGGACAAATAAACATGAAGAGACTGCCCTCTTAATCTTCTCAAAGAATAAAGGAAACTAAAGGGTTAAAAGAGACAGCAATATGTTGCCAGGATTCGAAACCACCATGACAAGCTAAGTGACTGTGTTCCTCGTCCCTACAGATGAGAGTCAGAACGGGGGATCGTGCGGGCTGGCTACCTGGTCCTGAAGCCACTGCTCTCGCTCAATCCGCTCCTTCCTCCACCTGGCTTCCGTTTCGTCAAGCTGCTCTTCCACCTGATCGTCATCAGATTCTCTGTGGAACAGGTCCATCTGGGAAGCATCATCTAAAGCAAGAGTCAAGGCAATCAGCGTCCGGCAGTCCCACAGGAGAGGGGGCTTGTACGGACACCAAAATAAATCTGGGCCAGCTGCTGCACGGTGGGTAAGGCAGCTGGGTCCCACCCCACGGCTGACTGTGCTGTTCAAGTCCCGAACATGGCAGCTTAAACAACATGCTGGGTGCTTAGTGTGTATGCCCCAAATCCCAAAAGGTGGGAGAAATGGAGAAGGGATTGCAGCATGACCATCTTCCGTGGGGAGTGGGGTGGGGCGGGGTGTGCTTTCTCTTTCTTGCCAGTGAACACATGCACCCGTTGGCAAATTAAAAAATAAATAAATCCGTTTTATTTACTATATAATGACATAAACTTCTCCCAGCCACTAACAGAAAACAATGGTTTCAGTCAGGTCCTCCACACGGCCTGCTAAAATTTTGGTTCCCATTGCTGTCTCCAACTGGACAGATGTGGACATTGTAAGTTTCCTTTTCAAGGCACCAGATACCTATGTTTTTCCACCGGAATTTCCTTATTCGCCCAGGACCATCGCTGTGCAGATCCCCGTCAGCAAGGTACCGCTCTTGGTACAAACGCAGCTGTCGCTTATCGTCATCCAGCATGGCTTTCCTGCAATGGGAGGAACGAGCTGTTCAAAACCAGGACCATTCTGCGGGGTATAGAGCCTGCCTTAAGATGCACCCTCTTACTCAGAAGGGCTTGCTGGGATACTGACATGTGTATTTTCTTGACTTGACTCTGCAGCTCCTCATCAGAAGGAAGGACTTCGTCAATTACATCCTCTTCATATTCATCAATCTCTTCCCCATCATACTCGTCTTCACTTCCCACATCACTTCCTGACACCTCTGCTTCGTCCTCTAGGTATTTTTTCAATCTCCTGAAAGCATTTTTAAAGGTTAGAAAGTGTAACAACGAATATACACGCGAAATATGAAAGCAAATGAGGAAAGTCACCGCTAATAACAATATGCTTAGGTTTGTTGATGTTTTTTGGCAGTATTTAAAAGTAACACTTTGGGGCTGGATGGCTGTGCCACGGGAAAACATGATGCTCTGAAAGGCTGACCCACATAGTGAGGTTCCAGGCTTGCATCCAGAGGCCTCCCTGAGAACGCTGAGCACATGTGTGCCCATGAGCCAGGGCTGGCTGGAACTGGACGGGGACTGTAGCATCAAGACCCTATTAGAAGTGCCATCTCTGTCTCTCATTCATGGAAAAAAAAATACGACTTTCAAAAAACTTTTCTTTCTTTTTAATCATCACAGGTTATATATGGCAAGTGGCTGGGAGCAGAAAGAGAGGCGCATCCTCCAATGGGGCACAGCTGCCTGAAATCCCTTCTCCACTTCTCCATCCTGGGGAGATTTTGGGCACACACATACACACCACCCAGTGTATTTTTCAAGCCACTGGGGCCAGGATTTGAACTGTGTGGTTGCCATGTGGGATCTGGGTCTCTCTGTTTTATTTTTTTTTGGAGAGTTTTTTTGCTATAGGGTGCGTGCGCTCACCAGAAAGACAGAGAGACAGAGAGATAGAAAGTGACAAAGCACCCCACAGGGGGGAGGGCCATGCCCCTATCCCTTCCCCTCCATTCTCCTCTCGGGATATTGGGCACGCACACACACATGCCCAGTGTGAGTTTAAGCCACCGGGTCCAGGACTTGAACTGTAGTCGACTACATGGGAGTCCAGCGACATAACAATTACGCTAACTACTGGTCCCAATACATATATTTCTAAAGAATTATTTATTTATTTGTTATATTGTTATTTTTCATTTGACCAGAGAGAGAAAGGAAAAGTGAGAAAGCAAGCCACCAGGTCCCAGACTCAAACTGTGGAAGTCCAGTGTCTCAACCACCACCTGCAAGTCCCTTAAATAATATTTTCTAAGACTTAAAAGTTAATCGCTCAGGGGACCAGCAGTTAGCGTAATGGCTATGTTGCTGGACTCCCATGTAGTTGACCATGGTTCAAGTCCCGGACCTGGTGACTTAAACTCACACCAGGCACGTGTGGGTGCGTGCCCAAGGTCCCGAGAGGAGAATGAAGGAGAAGGGATTGCAACGTGGCCATCCCCTCCAGAGGGTGATTTCTTCCTTTCTGTCTGTCTTTCTGGTGAACTCATGTGCCCTGTAACAAAAACCTCTATGGGAAAAAAGAAAAAGAAAAAGAAAAGTTAATCACTCAGGCCAGCCCGTGGCCTGGTGGTGGTTAAGGCAGCTGGATCCCACATAGCCAACTATTTGTTCAAGTCCCAGACCCCACCAGGTTGGAAAACACGCCAGGTATGTGTATGTGTGCGCACGTGAAAGGAGGAAGAAGTGATGAAGAGATTGGGGCATGACCATGCCCCACCTGGGGGTGCTTCTGGTTTCCTCTGTCTTTTTCTGGCAAGTGTATGCGACCACTGGCAAAATAGTAATAATAAAAATAAATAAGGTCTGTTGATTTGGGGGTCAGCAGATGGCATACTGGTTACGTCCCTGGACTCACACATGGCCAACCATGGTTTGAGTCCCAGACCTGGTGGCTTGAGGCTCACGCTGGGCACGTGTGTGTGCATCTTCAAGATCCTGAGAGGAGAATGAAGGAGAAGGGACTGTGGCGTGGCCATCTCCTCTAGGGATATGATTTCTCATTTTTCCTCTTACTGTCTCTATCTCTCAGGCAAGTGCATGCGCCATAAGGCAAAAACCTCTGGGGAAAAAAAACAAAAACGAAAGCTGTTGATTTAAAAAAAGTTATCCCATGGGGCTAGCAGGCAGTGTGGTGGATAAGAGTGCTGGATTCCCACATGGCAGGCCATGGTTCAAGTCCTGGACCTGTTGGCTTATTTTCTCATTTTCCCTTGCTCTCTGGTGATCAAAACAAACAAACAAACAAACAAACAAACAAACAACCTAACATAAATTAAATAAATAAATAAATAATTCTTTTTAAAAAAAAAGTTCTCACTCAGTACATACTATGTGCCAGTAACGGCTTTACAGACATTATCAAATTATCTTAGGAGTAGGTACACTATTCCTTTCATTCTACATCCTTTCATTCTACAGTTCAGGCTCAGAGAGAGTAAATAATTTTTCCAAGGTCCTAGCATGCGCTCGCCAGAAAGACAGGGAGATAGAAAGCAAGAAATCATCCCCCAGGGGGGATGGTCACGCTGCAATCCTTCCTCCTCCATTCTCCTCTCAGGATCTTGGGCATGCACGCACACGCGCCCAGTGTGAGTTTTAAGCCACCGGGTCTGGGCCTCGAACCACAGTCGACTATGTGGGAGTCCAGTGACATAGCCATTACGCTAGCTGCTGGCCCCTAGCCCACCAGATCTTGATCTCCATGAGTGGCACGGCTGGGGCTCAGAGCTCCTGGTAATTAAAATTATTACTAGTTACTTTTTCTGACTTGGGCTCCCCTTTAGAACAAATTTTCTGTCACTTGGGGTTTAAAGTTCTGTTATCTATGGTCATAAGAGGTAGAAGTCTGATAGTTTGCTAAAGGCTAATTTTTTTTTTTTTTGGAGAGATTTTCACTGTAGGGCACATGCGCTCGCCAGACAGACAGAGAGAGACATAGAGACAGAAAGCGAGAAATCACCCCACAGGGGGGATGGTCACGCCGCAATCCCTTCTCCATTCTCCTCTCGGGATCTTGGGCACGCACGCACACGCGCCCAGTGTGAGTTTTAAGCCACCGGGTCCGGGACACGAACCACGGTCAACTACGTGGGAGTCCAGCGACATAGCCATTACACCAACTGCTGGTTCCCAAGGCTGATTTTTATCAAAAACTTACATTGTGCTTTTCCAAAGCTGAATTCCTCTAAATCCTAGGGTTCCTGGGAAATCCCATTAGGCTACTAGTCACTAAGTTTCCCAATCTTTCCACCCACACTCTTTGAATGGTTCATTCTTTATAAGACTTCATTCGAACGAAGAGCTCTGTAGTTAAATAAGGCTGAAGAACCACTGCCTTGCCAAACAAAAAAAAAAAAAAAAAAAAAAAATCTACGAATGACCTGAAGCTGTATGAGACAGTTAATATGACAGGTGACAGATGAGAACCCAAAATGGATCTTAACAGAAGGGGATGATGGCCTGAAAGTGGTAACATAAATCTAATAGGAATCAATATGATAGCCTATATGTGAATTCTAAAGGTCAGGCATATACATATGTACTATTAAATATCTATTAGAATTATCTTTATGAAACTTTAACATCATAGAAATATGCTTATGAATATGCTAAGCAGGAAAAAAAAAAGATGCAAAATCAAATACAAAATACCTCTACAAATCTCAACTATATGAAAGTATACATATAAAGATTAAGCGGGGGGCCAGCCCTGTAGTACATCAGTTAAGCCCTATGCATACGGATCTGAGTCCTACACCAGTAACCAGTTAGAATCTTCATACCAGCAGATACAAAAACACACCATGCATGTCCATGCATGCCCCAAATCCTGACAGGATGAAGAACTGGAGAAAAAAGGATTGCGCATGCCCGCACTAAATTGAGGCGTTCTCTCCCCACCACCAGTCTGGCAAGTGCAGACAGTATCTGGCGATTAAAAATTGGAAAAACTAAGGGGCCAGAGGGAGGTGTGGTGGTTAAGGCACTGGACTCCCCACATGATCAGCTGTGGTTTGAGTCACAGACCCGGGTGGCTTGAAAAATCACTGGGCCCATGTGAGTGCGTGCCCCAAATCCAAAGAGGAGAAAGGAGAAGGGATTGCGAGTAGCCATTGCTCCAGGGGGGTGACTTCTCATTTTTCCTCTCTCTGTCTCTCTCTGGTGAGCTCATGTGTCCTACAGCAAAAACCTTTAAAAAAAAAATAATAATAAAAAGGATTAAAAGGAGATAACCACCATTAACACTTTCACATATACTCTGGATGGTGGACACAAACATTTTATTTTCATTTTTCTGTATTCTCTTATTTCTAAAATTTTACTTATTTTCTTTATTCATAATAGAGCACATGCGCATGCATGTATGTGCCAGCGTGTTTTAGCCTGACTAGGCTAGGGACTCAGACCATGATCACCATGTGGACCCAGCCTCTTGGACAGTCCGTTACTGCAGCATCAGAGTTGGCCCAGTTCTTCTCTTTTTAAAATTGTCTAGAGGGTGGGACCAGTAGTTGGCGTAATGGCTATGTCGCTGGACTCCCATGTAGTCGACCAGTTCGAGTCCTGGACCCAGTGGCTTAAACTCATGCCGGGCACATGTGCGTGCGTGCCCAAGATCCTGAGAAGAGAATGGAGGAGAAGGGATTGTGGTGTGGCCATCCCCTCTGGGGGGGTGATTTCTCACTTTCTGTCTCTCTGTCTTTCTGGCGAGTGCACGTGCCCAGTAAGAAAAAAAACCTCTCCCCCCCACCCAAAATTTTTTTTTCTAGAGGGTGTATGCACTCACTAGAGACAGGGAGAGAGGGAAAGTGAGAAATGCCCCCACTCCAGGGGACAGTCATGCTACAATCCCTTTTCCATTTCTCTTTTCAATATTTTAAGGCACGCACACATGCCCAGCATATTTTTTTAAGCCACCAGTCTGGACTGGAACAGTATAATCAGCCATGTGGGGTCCAGCTACCTCAACCACCATGTCACCCATTGGCCCAGCCCTACATTCTTTTAAATATTCTCAAATAAATGTGTTACTTTTATCATCAGAACAACAAAACATTGAAAAGATAAAGAGACTGGAAGCAGTGTCACTAGAAATGTCACCGGTTGTGGAAGGAGTCAGACGTTTAATAAAGAAATCATGTAACGAAGATATGACCTTCTTTGAATAGTCAACAGACTTCATATGGAAAGACTTCAACCTGTGTTAACCACGAAAAGCAGAAAAAGAACCAGTAAAGTTATACAGAAAGGTATACAGAAAGGCGGCAAATTACAAGTCGACTGTTGGAGGAACTTTCTAGCATTGAACAGACAGCAGAACACCTACATTTGCCTTTTCAACTTCTCAGAGTGCTTCAGGAGTTCTTCGTCATCGTCGTCATGGTCTTCCGGCCCCAAAGCTTCACTGCTAGAGTCACTGTGTTCATCCTGCAAAATCACAGGGAACACTGAAGTTAAGCAGGACAAAATGTGTCCTCCAAAACAGGGCTTACGAACTTTCGTCCACAAACACCTCATTCCAGGGTATTGCTTCTGACCAGGTGCAAGCTTAGAATTCTCAAGAAGTCAGACAAGAAACTCCCCCAGGGCCCGCACTGCTAGAGCGTGTGACTGCTTTGCTCCCTACATAACCCACCTCATCACTGTTAAATTCATTATCATTTGGGACAAGCCGGAAGTCTCCAAATTCCTCCTCTTCCTCACCTTCTTCTTCCCTAAAATGTGAATCAACAAATCAGTTGTTGACAGCAAACTACAAGCAGCTAAAAATTTCATCAGCACCAATAATCTCTTCAAGAAACAGGAACCAAGATTATCTTGCCTTTTATTAAAAACGTTTTTGCCACAGGGTGCCAGTGTTCCCCCAGAGAATGGGAGAGAGAGAGACAGACAAACAGTGAGAGAGAAAGTGAGAAATCACTCCTTAGGGCTGATGGTCATGCTGCAATCCCCTCTCCTCCATTCTCCTGAGACTCTAGGTATGCACGAACACATGCACGGTATGATTCTCAAGCTGCCAGGTCCAGGACTCAAACTGTAATTGGCGATGTGGAAGTCCAGCACTTTAACCACTATGCCACCTGCTGTCCCCTAAAAAGTATTATTCATTATTTTTTTTAAAGAGAGATTTTTGCTATAAGGTACATGCACTTGCCAGAGGGGGGGGTAGGTTCCCCCCCAAGGGGGGATGGCTGTGCTGCAATCCCTTCTCCTCCATTCTCCTCTTGGGATTTTGGGCACACATGCACATGTGCCTGGTGTGAGTTTGGAACTGCCAGGTCTGGGACTCAAACCATGGTTCACCATGTGAGAGTCCAGCGACATAACCATCATGCCATTTATTGGTCCTAAAAGTATTATTATTTTTTCTTTTTCTTTTTTTTGGAGAGATTTTCACTGTAGGGCGCGTGCGCTCGCCAGACAGACAGAGAGAGACATAGAGACAGAAAGCGAGAAATCACCCCCCAGGGGGGATGGTCACGCTGCAATCCCTTCTCCTCCGTTCTCCTCTCGGGATCTTGGACACGCACGCACGCACACGCGCCCGGCGTGAGTTTTAAGCTACCGGGTCCGGGACACGAACCGCGGTCGACTACGTGGGAGTCCAGCGACATAGCCATTACGCTAACTGCTGGTTCCCTAAAAGTATTATTTTTAATTGACACATAATTGTATGTATTTATCTTGCTCCTTAAAAAAAAAAAAAAAAAAAAGGGGGAGATTTTTGTTTTACAACATGTGTGCTTGCTCTGGAGAGACAGAGACAAGGAGACAGAAAGCAAGAAATCACTCCCCAGGAGAAATGGCCCCGCTGCAATCCCTTCTCCTTCATGCTCCTCTCAGGATTTCGGGCATGCTCATGCACGTCCCCAGCATGAGTTTTAAGCTGCTGAGTATGGGACTCAAACCATAGTCGACTGTGTGCAGTCAACCGCAGTCCAGCGAAGTAACCATTACGGCATCTGCTGGTTACTTTATTTTGCCTTTTTTTAAAAAACTTTTAAACAGTGGTAAAATATACTTAACATAAAATTTACCATCTTTTTTTTTTGTGTGTGTGAGAGGTTTTTGCTATAGGGTGCATGCGCTTGCCAGACAGACAGGGAGAGACAGAGAGACAGAAAGTGAGAAATAACACACTGGGGGGATGGCCACGCCACAATCCCTTCTCCTGCATTCTCCTCTTGGGATCTTGAGCACGCATGCACACACGCCCAGCGTGAGTTTTAAGCCACCGGGTCCAGGACTCAAACTGCGGTCGACTACATGGGAGTCCAGCGACATAGCAATTACACTAACTGCTGGTTCCCATCTTTTTTTCTTTTTTTTAATTTACCATCTCAAACCAAGATTTAATTTTTTTTTTTTTGCCATAGGGTGCATGCGCTTGCTACAGAGAGACACAGAGACAGAAAGTGAGAAATCCCCTCACAGTGAGGATGGCTGGCCATGCCACAGTCCTGCTGGAGGGTGCTCTCTCTCCCTGGAGAGTGCACATACCCTCTGGTCTCCTCACCAATCTCTGAGACTCACCTGTCTGTTGGGAAAGAGCCTGAGCAAAGAGCTAGTGCTTCTTCCATCGGGTCACCCATGCTGTTCTCCTTCTCCTGCTGCAGCTCTGATGGAGCCAGAGTGGAGGCAACTGTATGACAATAAGGGAAAATTTGTCATCAAGGATGACAGCGTTATCCTCTTTTCCCAGCCATCTAAAGACATGCCAGCTCAATACAGTTCTAAGGTAAGCTTGCCAAAAAGAGCTCACCAACTACTCATTCAACAAATCCTTATTTAGTGCCTCGTGTGTGCCAAGCACCAGATACGGGAGTGAACCAAGCTCCCAGCTCTCGTAGGGCTTACATTCAAGTGTAGAGCTTACCTCCAAATGGGTGTATTTATCCCAAGTGGGGGCTGTGAAGGGGGCAGGGAGATGGAAACACGGGTGGAAAATTAACATTTATATAAAATTTACTGCCACCAGACACTGCTCTAAACTTTGTGCGTCGACTAACCATGTCTATCATATGCCAAAGCCCAAGCAGTCTGAGGCAGACAAACACACCACCCAACGCAAGTAAGCACTCTAAGTGTCAGGGAGCTAAGCAATGAATTCAGCCTTCTACGAGATTCCATTACCGCCCTGTGCTCTGTGAACTCTTTTCCTGAGAGTAAGGGTTCCGTCAAGAACAAGGACATCTGATACTTGGCTGCAGGGAGCCTGAGGCTCTCTGGTGGATATTTACCCTGGGAAGTGAACTTTCCTGAACAAAGATTCAGAAGTTCCTCCATGTTTTCTTTCTTGTCACTCTTCCTGGATAGACATTTTTCGGCCTGAGATGTAAAATTTCCAGAACACAAATCCAACAGCTCATCCATGTTGGCATCCATGGCATTCTCGTCCATACTGGCCAATGGCAACCGAGGCTTCAAAGCCTGGTACTGATTCCTGTGGTTTCTAACATTTAAGAACCTACGAGCACAACAGATAGTGTAAGGATTTCTCCAGAGAAGCAGCAAAGTAGTGGGTGAAAAGCTCCAAATTCATTTCCAACACCGAAGTGCAAAGCTGAATCCCAAATCAGAAAACAAGATTCAAACTTTAGCTCCACACTGATCTAAAGAAGGAAAGGAAAGTTCTATGAAAGAATAAAATGCTTTCCAAAAAGAGAGTGTAAAAGAGAATTTTTGGCTTCAGATGATGTTAGAGTAAGGCTTGATGTTATTATCTATAATGTGCCAATGAACTCTCAATCTTACCCCCAAATTGTAACAGTAGTGTAAACAGATACAGGGCAATCTGATGCCCTGACGACACAAGATCCATGCGTTTCAAATAAGACAGAAATAAAAAGATCAAAATGTCAGCAAAAGCCACTTCTGTTTTACTTTCTGCAGAGACTTTGTTCAAACTTGTAGAATATAATACTAATGGTCTACATACCTTCTCTTTCTCAGTGAGAAAGCGCAGATGGAGTGACAGAAGCTCCTTTTATTTTTAAACAAAATTAAGCAGTACCCAACACCATTCCCACCCACAGAAACACAAAACTACCTACCCATCTGCATCCAACAGTTGGCTCTGAGTGTCATCTTCTAAACAGAACTGGAAGTCTCCTGCTCCTAGGAAAAGTGTCTTAGGCTCTGGGGAGGCGTTATACAGATCCTGGGAATCCTCTATGGGAAGTGAAGGCTCAGACAGTTTCCCTGAACTCTGGCACCAAAACATAAACAAACAATAACAAAACATTTTACAAATGTCATTCACTGTCATGACAACAACAGAAGTTGCTATTTCCAACCCGAAATCTACTCTCAGGCAATTGCGATCCAGGACAAAGCATAGCCAAGACACAAAGGCAGAAGATTTTTTAAACTGAATACACATAAGCTCAGTACCGATGTGGTGGGAGTTGGTTGGCTGGGACACGCTTTATTTAGCAGTGTGGGAAGGAAAGGGAGGAGGAGATTAGAAAACTATTACCACCTTACCTTAGAAGTTGAGCTGACCAAGCTGGCTCGAAATAGCCCAGGAGAAGGAGATCTGAATCCCCCCGCTGTAGGGAACAAACTGGTCCCACGGCCTGTTTGTCTGTTGCAAGGCTGATAGGACGGAATGGTGGAGCCAATCAGCTCAAAGCTGCTGTTATGGCTGTTCTCCTTCGTTAGCAATGAACATGAATCATCTTCATCTAAAGAAAGAGAAGAACCTTTTAAGGGCATGATTATGGAAATAAGGTGGATTTGTTTAGGAAAAAGCTGAGGATGAAAGTGTCAAATAAAATTCACAGGCAAACTCTTCAAAGTTATATGTTCCAAAACATTAGGTTCAAGGTAGATTACAGTACCAAGACGGCATTATATTAGGTTGTCGGCAAAGTCATGACACATTTTAGCACAGAAAAATAGAGAAAAGTACGCCATGACTTTTCCAACAACCCAATACGATCAGAGTTTATTTCTCTCAGTGAAGTGACACCCGAAAGTTCTCTTCTTTCTCTCATCCTGACTAATGTCTATAATTACTCCCTTCATTAGCCAACCAATTATCCATCTTATTCATCTTTGATCTCCATAAAGAAACATTTTATGGCTCACTCAATCAACACATGATCACTAAAACTTTCTATATACCAATGGCCCATCATAAGGAAACTGCATGTAAGTTTTCCGAAAATGGACCAAAAAATGTTTTAATTCATAAACCTTTTTCTCATTATCATTTGTGACTGGAAAAATTACCAGATCCAAAAAGAAGAAATGTATGAAATTAGAGTCCTTAAGTGTCAAAGCTGAGGGATACAGAACAGTCAAGTCTGCCACACAGTCACTACTTACCCGGTTTGTTAGGCTGTCTGTCTGCACTCTCATCTGCTTCTGATTTTTCTTCAGTGGGAAAGTAACTACAAAAGAAGGAGGTAGTTTGTTTATCTGTTCCTACTTCTCACCAGAAAAGCAAGTCCCAGGAAACGTTACATTTCCTTAGAGAATTACTCACTCCATCTTAGAAGAGCTGTCCTTAAATAGAAGCAAGGTAGAATCTGATGAGAGAGTCTTGGGAGCAGAAAGAAGGCCAACCGCCTTGCCAGTTTCACTACCGCCATCATTATTTTCTTTATCCATTTCTTTCTCATCTTTGGTTTCTGTGTCTTCACTACTAAGAAGGAATTCTGCAGTCTTCACCACCATGCCACCCAAAAATGAAATAATACAAGTCAAAAAACTTGAAAGCAAACATACCCTTAGTATGAACTCTGGCTACTCAGTTACGGGTCACATCTTTTTTTAATTATTTAATTTAACTTAATCACTCATTTATTTTAATCTGACCAGAGAGAAAGACACACACACACACACACACACACACACACACACACAGAGAGAGAGAGAGAGAGAGAGAGAGAGAAAGAGAGAGATAAAGAAAGTGAGAAAGCAAGCCACCAGGTTCGGGACTTGAACCATGGACAAACACGCGGAAGTGTCCAGCGCCTTAACCACCA